TCGCTCGCCAGTTTTTCCTTATACTTGCCCCACCCCCCCACTTTTAAGATAGTTAGCTGCACGTGATATATAGTTTGAACAGTCGTTTCCAACTTTCTCTAATCGGTTCAAAGTTACAGAAACCGAACGTAGAATCAACGAACTATATGTGTTGGAAGAGCCAATGTTTCGTCAACTATAGTCTTAAACCGTGTTCCCAGCTGTTTCGTCAACTATAGTCTTAAACCTTGGGAACAGGGTTTAAGACTACAGTTGACGAAGCAGCTGGGAACAAGGTTTAAGACTACAGTTGACGAAGCAGCTGGGAACAGCTGTTTCGTCGACTGTAGTCTTAAACCTTGTTCCCAGCTGCTTCGTCAACTATAGTCTTAAACCCTGTTCCCAGCTGCTTCGTCAACTATAGTCTTAAACCGTGTTCCCAGCTGCTTCGTCAACTGTAGTCTTAAACCGTGTTCCCAGCCTCTAATTTTGAGTAGATGCTGATTTTCAGGACAATGCTATAATGTGTTGCATTTCCCTTGCTTGACCGCGGCTCTAATGAAGATAAAGTAACATTAAGTCAGTGGCTAGGAAACAAGTAATTATTTGAGTGGTTCAACCACGAAATAATAAAAAGTGAATTATAAACCGATAAATACAATGTTGCAATAAAGCAAAGGCATTAAGAGCATTAGCTCTGCAAAGGCATTTTGCCGTGTTTTACTTCCAGTTTTAGCAAAGCCATTTACCAAGGTTGGAATGTTAAGAGCATCGATTCTTTCTCTATAAAGGTTTAAAATCATTAGAGAAGTCTATTTTGAGTTATAATGCTTCTAAGATTGACTTAATGTGTTTGTGGTGTGCTAATTTAGCAGTGGCAGTAATTTCGGACAGCTCCTATGGATTTCTGTCCTATTGGACTGTTGAAACGGGCATTGAGAAATCGTTGTCCTCATACATTAGGTTGTAGAAAGCTGCAGGGAGGAGGGGTGTGTTTTGAACATGACAGCCTTACGACAGAGCCTTTTACAATTGAAACTAAGCTGTAAGACTGTTGTGAAGATGCGCGGTCGTCAACCAAAGAATCTGACTGGACATGGAGAAATTGTGGGGCTCCAAAATTGTTTTAATATAGCGTATTTAAATTTCATATCTGATGTTATGAACCGACATTGAACTTTTCAATAGTTAATAATGGTGAACTGTACTTTCCACTGTAATATTTTACAGTTCAAGTAAACACTATCCTTTAGTGGTTCCCTAGGTGTACTTGATGCTGTGGTCGATCATCAGTTCCAAAAAGCTTTTTTTTCAATACAGTTAGTGTTGCTACTCCAACAAATATCGTCGGTACTTCTACTCTCGTGCACAGACCCTATGGCCGCTTTACTTACTAGTAATGCTCTCTTTAAGAGTACACAATTATTATAATACATAATGCTGCATATGCAATTGATCTTTTATAATCATGAACTTTAAGAAAAAGTTGTTTTTTTTCTTTATTTAATCACAGTTCCCAGGGTGCACTAGGCTACTTTATTAATGCACATTCGTTACAAAACGCCTTTCCTTCTGGCTTGGCTTCAACGTACTGTTACAGTTTGGTTTTGGCGTGAATTTCGTGCAAAGCTACACGAGGGCTAACTGTGCTAGCCGTCCCTAATTTAGCAGTGATACACTAGAGGGAATGCAGCTAGTCAACATCACCTATCGTCAACTCTTGGGGTACTCTTTCACCAACAAATAATTGAATTAACCGTCACATTAAAATGCCCCCCACGGCTGAATCAGCGAGCATGTTAAACGACGGTGATTCGAACCCGCGACCCTCAGAACAGTAAGAAGAACACAATAGTATATTTGAGTTCTTCCTCAAATTTGGTCAAATTTCTAGTGTGCCAATAGCTAGTGAGCACTAGCCTAGCATGTGAGAGATCTCGGGTTTGATATCGAGCCGAGGAACTAAAAACACTGAGTTATCGTAGAATAACTGGATACCAATGAGGGGGGGGGGGGTAATAAAAGAAGGGAAAAATGTGATAGTTTGAGTTATTGGAAGGTTTCTTTCTGACATTTCCTAGTGGATTGACCACTTAGGTCAGATGGTATCACTCGCCTGGCGTGGAAAAGGTCTAGGGTTCGATACCTACCTGATGAAATAGAAACATTAAGTAATCAAACCAGCATTACACAAACAGGTTTCAAGAAATGCCTTTTAATGGTAGGGGTGTTCGAATACCAACTTTAATCATGGGAATTAAATCTAACCTATATAAAAAGCCTGTGTGTGTCACGTCACGCTTGATTTCTCATGATTTGTAGAAATAAGAGGAGTCATAAAAGCCATATATGGCCGTGAGGGGTGGGGTGCCGTGAAACCTTATAAGTGTAATGAGTGTTGGTGCAATAAGCCTAAAGTAAAGATGTAGTGTAGGATCACCTAGCCTAGAGACAAGTGCATAAAATTTATCACGAAAGTAAAAATATCGATTCAATTTTAAACTTAGTTCGTTTGTGAAATAAGATATTTTCTGTTATGTCACCAACGTTTTTAACATAAAAAAACTCTTTAATCAACGGACACTCTAAATTAAGAAATCAACAAATATTTTTCCAGTTTTGTTGTCTATACATTTCATTTTAAACATTCAGTATATACACTAACAACAATATTAGGTTATACTTATGTTGCTTAGCAACATGACATAAAAGCCATTGGTGGAACGTAGTGTTACCAAAACGCACTGTCTTTTCTATATATTACAAATTGTTAATTTAACTGATTTTTACCAATAATTATTCTATGAATACGCCACGAATTCATTTCATCAATGATCTTAATTTTGATTGGCTCACAAAGGAATTTACTAACGTTTGACTGCCTCGGCTGCACTTTTTTTGCCTCTTTGTTGGTCAAGTTTGATTTCGC